TAAAATGGTTTAAATAATGGAAATATTTGATATATTTATTTAAATGTATTTTTTCTAAAAACATAATACCTACATGTTACCATTTTACAAAAAGCCAACCACATCTAAACTGATTTTTAATGATGAGAATTAAAAGTTAACTTTCTCCAGATAGTATTTGAATTTTTCTCTTGAAGGAATTTTGCAGAAATATTGAACAGTTGGTTAACTTTTGGGGCCCTCAGATATTCTCAGTGTCACTTGTCCATGGAAAAAGGAATGACAAACAGGATTTCATGGTCACATGATGTGATGTGTATTTATACTTTCAAAGTAAAAGAGCCTCTTTTCACAATAAAACTAAAGTACCGGTGAGTAAAAGTGAGAAACAGTCATTGTTACCATATGGCAACACTACGGTGGCTGATAGGGTTTTGTGTTTGGTGTGGACGGTCTCTGGAGTCTTTAAAGGATACGGAGCAGACGGAAGGACCAGACATGCTGCATTATTGCACACAATATTTGAATGAGGGACACTCGTACGATGCAATCATGGACATGCTGTCAAGTTTACACAATATAAACATCAGCTTGCGGACTCTAAAAAGTAAACACAGGGTTGTACCGCAGAAAGCCATCACCATGACTACCACTCTGGAGCGTGCAGCCACATGTATGGCTCATCCACGATTAACCAGCGCATTGAGTCCTGGTGGTCCATATGTAGAAAGGGAAGGGAAGTGGCTTTCACAAAGTCATTTAATAATATATATATACACACAGACAAGCCCGAAGTTATTCATACCGCTGGAACATTTGGACTTAACTTGGTAACATTCAAAACTGTTTTAAACTGTAAACATTGGTCACTTGTCAGCTTCATCAGCTTATTCCTTTTCAAAAAGGTAGATGACTTTTTAATGTTTGTTTTTTTTGTGCAACAATATTGTTTCTATTTAATGTTTGTCTGTTAGATGTTCTGTGAGTTGTTCTTGGAGGTCGTGTGAAATGTCAAATAAACGTCTCCCGATCGTGTCATTGGACAGAGGGACAGGTTTCAGTGTCTCAGCACTTTTCTCACCTATGATTGTGACCATGTCCAATGCTGCCGGAGTATTAGCTCCTCTGCTATCCTGTGAGCTTTTTGGCCCCTTGCGATGTGGCGGTGTTTGTACGAGGCTAACGGTGCTTTTTTATTTACTGATGCCTGTTGGAGATACTCATCGAGTTTTCTATGAAAAAAGTCCAGTGGCTTATTGACATAACTGGGGTGTAAGGTCTCCAGGTGTTTGCTTTCATGCTGTCCGCTGTCAGAGTTTTTAGGCATTAAACACACACAGGTCTTTCCTCATTTCCGACCGTATTCACGGTAAACCTAAAGGCTGTGTAGGCTTCATCGTATTTCCTGCTCTTATTAGGTTTATGCCGGTTACCGTCACTTGCTTTTCTTTCCTCTGATGTCTCCTCCGTTTTTCTTTTCACACCTGTCAGAAACTTCTCCATCTCTCCTCCTCCGTCAGTCCCCCCTGCCTCTCACTGTTGAGACACCTCACTGCCCCCCCACTATTTGAGAAGTACTGGATTAATGTGAGCAAATCCTCAGAAACTCATGTGAGATGGTTAATATATTCTGGTCAGTGATGTACAAAACTGTGGCAAGCAGCTCTCAGCAACATCAACTAGAACTGCTTGACAATGTGTATATTCATTTAAGCTCATACATTTCCTACATTATTATTGTATATATACAGTAAATTCATTGAATCACTACTGTTCACTAAAGTATTCTGTTTTATATGTTTTATGTTGTATTCATATATTTTAACTTGTGCACTAATTTAAGTCTTTTGTCTCTTTTATGTTTGTAATTTTCTTTGTAAACATTTTATATGGAATCACTGAAAAACACTAACCTTTGTGCTGATGGTAAGAACTTAAAGTTGATCTTTAATTTTCAGTTTCTTCCCTGTAGAGGGCGCTGCAACACAGTGAAGTGATGCAGTCACTTTACAAGCTGACTGTGAAATTCTGTCACTGCTGAGTTTATACAAACACTTTAAACTTGCTGTAAATATCTGACATACATTAAATACTTTATATTCACCTGATCCTTTAATATCTTCCTATAACTTGCACCAGTAAATTCTGCTTCTGCAAACTTCTTGATTTTTCAAAATAAAAAGGATTTCTGCAAATGAAAAAGGAGAAAAAAAATCTTTTATTCTCAAAGTTTAAAGAGTGTTGAAGTCTTATTTTGAGTATTGAGACTGAATTGAAAACAGAATTTGATGCACACATGAATTATACTTAAGGCACTATTATACACTAATGAGTTAGGCACATATTACACATATTATTTCTGCCAACAGATCCTATTATAGTAGTTAGCTTGCTGATAAGTGAAGTAGCCTTTAGTCTGAGAGCCACAGAGTGAATCAGCTGCAGCTCCATCATCACCATCTTCTCCTGTTACTGAGGACGTCATCAGAGAAGTTGAACAACTCAAACTGAGTTATTACTGAACATGACTTCCTGTATTAAGACCAGGGAATCAGTTTGAGAGTGACAGCAGCTTCTAATCCTGTTTTCAGTTTAACTCTGCGGCTTCCTTTTTATTGTTCATGTATGGAATTTGCCTTTAAGTCTCTAAAGTTTAATTCTTCTGTGTTACAACAGACTGGACGAGCACTTGTTGGAAACTGATTCACTTTAATTGTGTGAATAAAACATGATCTTTCTCAGTGTGGGAGTCAGAGTCAGATGGCTTTCCACCTTTGTTTTATGCTCAGAGTCTAATGAAGACGTAAACAGCCGACTGCAAACTGAGAAACTACAGTAAAGCTTTGATTGAATCCACACTTTGTTCAGGTTTTATCTTATTTCTGTTCCTCACAAGCAAATATTCATCTGTTATAAAATGAGAAAAAGCTGATATTTGTGATAGTTATTGATTTATTTATTTGAAAATCAGGAGATCAATAAGCAACCAACACTTGAATCTTCTTCAGTCAGAAATAAAACTCTGGAGAATCCAAAGAAAAAATCAAATGTGCTTCATTTACACCAACATGGAGATAATTTATATTTATAGAAGCTGGATTTTGGAGATTTATATCAATCAGAAGTAAGATGTGATTTCAATAAACAGATTTGTGTTTTTGATGCAATAATATAAATATGAGAAAAGACAACAAATATATACATGCACATAATCTTAATTATTACCAATGACATGTAAGATTAGAGCTTATTTCATATTTTGCTGATTCATTTTATGTCAATAGAATAATATAACAAGGTATTCAAATGTTCTGGTGTTCAATGTGTAACCAATGTTCACAGACTTCTCACCAAAATCCAGATATTTCAGTAACTTTAAGTAACTCTGTTCAATATTTTTATAATAACAATGGATCAAATATCAAAATGAAAATTGATCAATATCACCAGACTTTGCAGTTCTTTAGTTCAGTTTCCTGCAATAACACAATCTGTTGGGATAAATTAGAAAAAAATAGTATTTTAAAAGATAATAGATATATAATATTGCACTAATATTAATGATTCCAAAATATATTGTGGAAATTAACTGCAGTTCTCCATCGTCCCACAAGGTGCAAAGAAAGAAATCAATTGAATTAAGTTTCAATCTACAGTTGTGTTGACATTGTGTCTGACAGTGGAGCTGATCTCAGAGCAGTTCAGACTGCAGCACTGAGAGTCATCTCCACTGGTTGTGATTCCTCTGTCAGTCACTGCTGGATGAAGCTCTCCTCTCCACTCTACCTCCCAGTAACATGGCCCAGTCAGAGCTGATGCTGCTGCTTCAACCTCTCTGGATCATCAGGACACAGCTGATCCTCCAACACAACCTCCTTCCTCACCACTCACACTCTGACTGAGATCACGTCAATCTGAGGAGAGAAGAAGACAGACAACAGAAGTCATAAATCAGTGTTTACAGAGACTCCCTCCATCAGCACATCCAGTATAAAGACCAGCAGGGACTTCAGTCCAGTTCAGACCAGAAGGTGAGTGGCTGTGTAGCGTAGCCTGCTTCCTTTCAGCTCTCATGTTAACGTATTGGAATGAACACACTGAGTTGAAGCTCAAAGACCTGCAGACACTTTGGACATCAAGTCTGTTGACTCTGCAGATTTCACTGAAGTACACATATAATATATATATAATATATATAATATAATGAATTGCTGAGAGTCCCTGAACGCATCATTACTGCAGAAACAGAGAGACATTCACTGCCCACTGTAATGATGGATTTACTGCTGTTTGGGTTCAAAGCTGATAAAAACCACAGTCTCAGTCACATTTGAATGTTTCATCTGCTTTTGAAATATTACAGGACAGATCTGTAAATATGGAGTCTGTTTAAAATAATATAAAACATATTTGGACTAAACAAAAGACAAATGGACAGATATATATCTGATGTTAAAGGTCCTACATGTTCATACAGAGACTGAACAATAGCTGTGATTACTGGACTTCAGCAGAGGTTCTGGTCTTTACAAAGACCACATGGTCACTAAATATAATGATGGTTCTCTGAAATAAGATCCAGTGGTTTGCAGGCTTCAATCAGACTGATCTTAGAGTTGTGACAAAAATTAACTGATCAGTTGTTTAGTGTTGAAATGAGAGAACAAACACTGAGATCAGATTTGATGGTACGACAGTTTGATGAATGAGGACCACTGTCTCTGTACATCTTGTAATGCTGTCAGCTGGAATCCAGCTTTATTTCCTGTAGACATGAACACAACAACAACAGTCGTCTTCACATCAACTCAAACACATTATCACAACAAGCTTCTGGCTCTCTGATTGGCTGACAGTTCTCTCTCTCTCTGTCTTTATGTCTAACCCTGAAGTCTGTCACCATCCTCCTCTCACAGCTTCACTGAGGAAAGCAGCAAATACTGGATCTTTGCTTTGATACTAACTGTGTTTAGTACAATACTGCTGAAACCAGCATGGACTGACTCCAACCCTCTACTGACCTCAGAGTCTCCAGTCTACAGTGTGGACTCTTCACAAGATCAGACAGCAGCTTCACATCTGAATCCTGCAGGTTGTTGTTATTCAGGTTCAGCTCTCTCAGATGGGAGGGGTTGGACTTCAGAGCTGAGACCAGATAATCACAGCTGATCTTTGATAAACTGCAGTCACCCAATCTGAATAAAGAATAAATGATGTAAGCTTAGAAGACAATGTCCCTGCTTGAAATCATTCAGTGTTTAATAATCTGTTCAGAGCTGAAGAAGGTTTAGAATGTACAAGTTTAGAAAAGAGAACAAAAGACATCTACAATATTTCTTTTAGGATAGTGGAGTCATAAAATCAAAGTATCTTCAGTTTAAACTATTCAGTCAGTATAAACATCATATAGTTTCATAACAATGTTGGAAACAGCAAATACTGAATATATTTGTTATTGTCTGATAGTTGAAATACAGATTATTTATTTACTTATTGTATTTAGTTTTTATTAAAAACATGATGTGGAGTATGAGAAGGAAATCAAGAGTTTAAAAGGTTCAGAGTGAATTATCCAGTGTAGATTTTTCTTGTTATAGTCAGGTTTTAAATGTGGAGCTCAACATTGCTCTGCCACAGTCAATGGACTACACCACTGAAGAAGAAAGCAGACTTTAGTATTAAGATACTCAGTGTGTGTGTGTGTGTGTGTGTGTGTGTGTGTGTGTGTGTGTGTGTGTGTGTGTGGGTGTGTGTGTGTGTGTGTGTGTGTAGGTGTGTGTGTGTGTGTGTGTGTGTGTGTGTGTGTGTGTGTGTGTGTGTGTGTTCTGAAGGATCAATATCAATGATCAGACATTATTTATGAAAACACATTGAAATCAACAGAAACCAAAGAAATATTTCTCCTTCGGTAAACTTGATCAGTTTAAAACAAATATTAGTTCAGAGGATCTTCTGTATCCAGATGTGACCATTTACCAACAATTATAAACATTCATTTACTTTAACAACTAACAGTGGACATTTTCTACAGTTTCTATAACAAACACAAGTCTTTGTGACTGCAGACTAAATTTAGTTCAACAAACATGAAAATATGAACAAAAGCAAATTTACAACTTTATGGATGTAAGTTATGTATGAACATAAATTAGGTTAAATTGTTAATTAAACATATCAGATCTACAACAGTAACAGAGAGTCAGTGAACTGACCCCAGAGTCTCCAGTCTACAGTGTGGACTCTCCAGAAAACCACACAGCAGCTTCACTCCTGAATCCTGCAACTTGTTGTTACTCAGGTTCAGCTCTCTCAGATGGGAGGGGTTGGACTTCAGAGCTGAGACCAGATAATCACAGCTGATCTCTGACAAACTGCAGCTCCACAATCTGAATAAAGAATAAAAGATGTAAGTTTAGAAGACAATGTTCCTGCTTGAAATCATTCAGTGTTTAATAATCTGTTCAGAGCTGAAGAAGGTTTAGAATGTACAAGTTTAGAAAATGGAAACTCCAAACACCTTAACCCAACATCAGGTTGAAAACTGTAAAATACAAAAAGGTAAAAAGAGCTCTCATTAATATTAATAACAACGTGCTGCTGCTTCAATAAAGACGTAGTGACTTCAGCTCTTAACCTCTGCCAGCTCCACCAGTGGCTCCATCTATACAAACTCATGTTGTGCAGCCAAACACAAATAAAAACCCACAGAAACTGATTGAAGATTCAACTGAAGATCACAAAGCTGTCAAATATGTCAGGATGAATTTTGGGGAAATGTGAACAAAAGACATCTACAACCATTATTTTATGAATAGTGGAGTCATAAAATCAAATTATCTTCAGTTTAAACTATTCAGTCAGTATAAACATCATATAGCTTCATAACAATGTTGGAAAAAGAAAATACTGAATATATTTGTTATTGTCTGATAGTTGGAGCAGAGATTATTTGTTTTTTTAATGTATTTGTGTATTTATTAGTATTATTTATTTTATAAAAAATATTAAAAAAGATTTTAGATCATGGATTTTTCTTGTTATATTCAGGTTTTAAATGTGGAGCTCAACATTGCTCTGCCACAGTCAATGGACTAAACCACTGAAGAAGAAAACAGACTTTAGCATTAAGATACTCAGTGTGGATCAGTATAATATCAGCCTTATGTCTGCACTTTACTGTCAGCACAACTTTCACATCATATTAATCTCAGCACAGAAGGAAAAAATGGTGTCTGACCTCAGAGTCTTCAGTCTACAGTGTGGACTCTCCAGAAAACCACACAGCAGCTTCACTCCTGAATCCTGCATCCTCTTGTTGTAACTCAGGTCCAGATCTCTCAGATGGGAGGGGTTGGACTTCAGAGCTGAGACCAGATAATCACAGCTGATCTCTGACAAACTGCAGCTCCACAATCTGAATAAAGAATAAATTATGTAAGTTTAGAAGACAATGTTCCTGCTTGAAGTCATTCAGTGTTTAATGATATTGAGATTTATATGGCAGGAAAAAGACCTCGAGAACAATATAAACATTACAGCTACTGAAAGAAAGAGGAGGCTGGGGTTTACCATCACAGAAACATTATTATATCTCAGCACAGATGAGAGCATCAGCTCTCGGGGTTCGGAGAGCAGTGATAAAAGAACATACATTGAAAGAAGATATTAAAATCCTGAGTTGGTGTGCATATGATTCAGATCTCACACTAAATAAACTCAATGATAGATTCAAAGTTTGGATAAAGAAAGGTATAATATCTCTATGACGCATTATACAGAAAGATGAAATTATGTGTTTTCAAACATTAAGAGTTAATTTTTCATTGGAAAAACAGGATTTCTAAAAATATCTCCAATTAATAAATTACTATAATCAAAAAGAAAAATACCAGAGAAGCCAGTAAACCCTTTATGCAACTTCTCATAAATGCATATAACTCAGATATTAAAAGAGGGGTCATCTCTCAACTGTATAAGAGCCTCCACAATCTAAAAGCTCATTCAACAAAATATATAAAGGATAGATGGGAGAAGGAAGGAGACCTGACAATAACAGACAAAGAATGGCAAGATATTTGTGTATTTCAATTGAAGAGTACAAAATCTCATGCTTGGAAAGAATTGATGCTTGAAGAAGAAAACAGACTTTAGCATTAAGATACTCAGTGTGGATCAGTATAATATCAGCCTTATGTCTGCACTTTACTGTCAGCACAACTTTCACATCATATTAATCTCAGCACAGAAGGAAAAAATGGTGTCTGACCTCAGAGTCTCCAGTCTACAGTGTGGACTCTCCAGAAAACCACACAGCAGCTTCACTCCTGAATCCTGCATCCTCTTGTTGTTACTCAGCCTCAGCTCTCTCAGATGGGAGGGGTTGGACTTCAGAGCTGAGACCAGATAATCACAGCTGATCTCTGACAAACTGCAGCCCCACAATCTGAATAAAAAATAAAAAGATGTAAGTTAAGAAGACAATGTTCCTGGTTGAAATCATTCAGTGTTTAATAATCTGTTCAGAGCTGAAGAAGGTTTAGAATGTACAAGTTTAGAAAAGAGAACAAAAGACATCTACAATATTTCTTTTAGGAATAGTGGAGTCATAAAATCAAAGCATCTTCAGTTTAAACTATTCAGTCAGTATAAACATCATATAGCTTCATAACAATGTTGGAAACAGCAAATACTGAATATATTTGTTATTGTCTGATAGTTGAAATACAGATTATTTATTTATTTATTATATTTATCATTTTGTATTATAATGTAAAAAAAGAAAAGCACTGATCAATAACATGCTGCTGATCTCAGTCAGGTCTGTAATTAGAGGATCAATACTATATTGATCCTTTAAACAGCTGCATTTGGAAATTGTATTTGATCTTTGTATGTGTGTGTGTGTGTGTGTGTGTGTGTGTGTGTGTGTGTGTGTGTGTTCTGAAGGATCAATATTAATAATCAGACATTATTTATGAAAACACATTGAAATCAACAGAAACCAAAGAAATATTTCTCCTTCGGTAAACTTGATCAGTTTAAAACAAATATTAGTTCAGAGGATCTTCTGTATCCAGATGTGACCATTTACCAACAATTATAAACATTCATTTACTTTAACAACTAACAGTGGACATTTTCTACAGTTTCTTTAACAAACACAAGTCTTTGTGACTGCAGACTAAATTTAGTTCAACAAACATGAAAATATGAACAAAAGCAAATTTACAACTTTATGGATGTAAGTTATGTATGAACATAAATTAGGTTCAGTTGTTAATTAAACATATCAGATCTACAACAGTAACAGAGAGTCAGTGAACTGACCTCAGAGTCTCCAGTCTACAGTGTGGACTCTCCAGAAAACCACACAGCAGCTTCACTCCTGAATCCTGCAGCTTGTTGTTACTCAGGTCCAGATCTCTCAGATGGGAGGGGTTGGACTTCAGAGCTGAGACCAGATAATCACAGCTGATCTCTGACAAACTGCAGCCCCACAAACTGAATAAAGAATAAATGATGTAAGTTTAGAAGACAATGTTCCTGCTTGAAATCATTCAGTGTTTAATAATCTGTTCAGAGCTGAAGAAGGTTTAGAATGTACAAGTTTAGAAGATGGAAACTCCAAACACCTGAACCCAACAGCAGGTTGAAAACTGTAAAATACAAAAAGGTAAAAAGAGCTCTCATTAATATTAATGACAACGTGCTGCTGCTTCAATAAAGACGTAGTGACTTCAGCTCTTAACCTCTGCCAGCTCCACCAGTGGCTCCATCTATACAAACTCATGTTGTGCAGCCAAACACAAAGAAAAACCCACAGAAACTGATTGAAGATTCAACTGAAGATCACAAAACTGTCAAATATGTCAGGATGAATTTTGGGGAAATGTGAACGAAAGAAATCTACAATCATTATTTTAGGAATAGTGGAGTCATAAAATCAAATTATCTTCAGTTTAAACTATTCAGTCAGTATAAACATCATATAGCTTCATAACAATGTTGGAAACAGCAAATACTGAATATATTTGTTACTGTCAGATAGTTGAAATAGATTATTTATTTATTTATTTATTTATTTATTATATTGATCACTTTGTATTATAATGTAAAAAAAAGAAAAGCACTGATCAATAACATGCTGCTGATCTCAGTCAGGTCTGTAATTAGAGGATCAATACTATATTGATCCTTTAAACAGCTGCATTTGGAAATTGCTTTGATCTGTGTGTGTGTGTGTGTGTGTGTGTGTGTGTGTGTGTGTGTGTGTGTGTGTGTGTGTGTGTGTGTGTGTGGGGGTCTAAAGGATCAATATCAATGATCAGACATTATTTATGAAAACACATTGAAATCAACAGAAACCAAAGAAATATTTCTCCTTCAGTAAACTTGATCAGTTTAAAACAAATATTAGTTCAGAGGATCTTCTGTATCCAGATGTGACCATTTACCAACAATTATAAACATTCATTTACTTTAACAACTAGCAGTGGACATTTTCTACAGTTTCTTTAAGTATATATATAAGTTTCACAAGTCTTTGTGACTGCAGACTAAATTTAGTTCAACAAACATGAAAATATGAACAAAAGCAACTTTACAACTTTATGGATGTAAGTTATGTATGAACATAAATTAGGTTCAGTTGTTAATTAAACATATCAGATCTACAACAGTAACAGAGAGTCAGTGAACTGACCTCAGAGTCTCCAGTCTACAGTGTGGACTCTCCAGAAAACCACACAGCAGCTTCACTCCTGAATCCTGCAGATTGTTGTTACTCAGCTCCAGATCTCTCAGATGTGAGGGGTTGGACTTCAGAGCTGAGACCAGATAATCACAGCTGATCTCTGACAAACTGCAGACCCTCAATCTGAATAAAGAATAAATTGATGTCAACAGAGATCAATAACATTCTGTCAGTCAGGTCTGTAATAATGATGAAATCAGACATGTTGTTACTTCCATTTTCTTCTGTTTCTTCTGATTCATAACAACCATGTGTCCTTTTATGAAAAATATTAAGACAGATGTTTTCTATAGAATTCCAAAAAGGCCAATATCAAATAAATAAGAATTTATGACAGAAATAATAATTTAAGTAAAAACAAACCTCTTTAAACCAGCAGTTCTGATGTATCTCACACATTTAGACTATCCTCATCACCACTGTCATCTCCATCAACACACACTGACTGTGAGCTTCATCCTCAATCTTCTTTATAACTGGATCAAATGTGCACTGAGCAAAGAGAGCTGCATATTCTCTCTTAATCTTAAATTTAACCAAGTACCTTCCTGTACAAATACAGTGTATTATTTATGCTCCTGCTTACTGGTTGAGTCAGAACACAAAGTCACACACAATACTTCAAACACCTGCATTCAGAAATATGCTTGCTGCTTGTGTATGTGTTTTACAGTGTGTTTGTGCATGCATATTAGTAGCATATTAACTCTTTATTAGTAATTATTAAGCATGTTTTAATGCCTTATACTGCATGACTATATTCTAACACTACTAAGCCATGAACTGAGACTCTTTCCTCAATCACTTCCTAATTCCTGCTTAATGATAGTTAGTAAGGAAGTTGTTGTCCATGAAGCTCAGTATGGGCCTTATAAGGTTGTTGTACCACCACAATAGTCATTCTCCCTTAATAACACTTAACAAATTTGGTCTATGTTTGAATAACAAAACACAAAACTGTGTTAAGTGTTAAAAGCGTCCAAATTTCTCTGTAACTCAGAATATGTTCTTCATTTTAAATTGAGGTCTTGGTCATATTTTATTATGCTTTGCTCAGTGTGGGTCAAAGTCACCAGACTGCGAACTATTACATTTGTATTCAACTTGAATTATAATCTTTTACATATTTTACAACCTTTTACATCAACTCTCTCCTCTGTGTCTCTGTCGCTGTATGTGTGTGTGTGTGTGTGTGTGTGTGTGTGTGTGTGTGTGTGTGTGTGTGTGTGTGTGTGTGTGTGTGTGTGTGTGTGTGTGTTTGCCTTCGATCCCCAGTAAAAACACTGCACACAGATAAATTAGACAGATCAGATATACACTGTACAAGAATAAAATACGTGAACTGACCTCAGAGTCTCCAGTCTACAGTTTTTACTCTCCAGTCCAGCACACAACAGCTTCACTCCGGAATCCTGCAGGTTGTTGTAACTCAGGTCCAGATCTCTCAGATGAGAGGGGTTGGACTTCAGAGCTGAGGCCACAACTTCACAGTGAGTCTCTGAGAGTCCACAGCCAGAAAGTCTGTGATGACAGAATATAAATTTACTAAGTACAATAAAATCTGGCATTTTATAATAAAAACAGACTTCTGTGCATTTTGCATCACAAAGCACATTAACATGAGCGGCTGTAGCTCAGCTGGTCAGTCATTGATCACAAGGTCTGTGGTTTGAAACTTGAGCTCCTCCTGTCCACAAGTGCTGTGATTTGTGTTTGTTAAACTTTATTTTAACATGATGTTCAATGAGCTGTATAATCACTATAGGTTGTAACTGCACTCATATGTATTTACCTCAGTCATGTGCTTCTTGTGTGTATTTTGTGCATCTTTTTTCCATCTAGGGTTGCAGCTGTATATCAATACCATGGTATACTGTGGTATGAAATCATACTATGTACATTTGTTTATCTACGGTATTGAATTCTGTTGTATTTGTGTTATTAAAAATATAGGAAATATATAGGAAATTATAGTAAAGCATTCAACCAAAAAACAAACAAACAAAAAGAACACATCTTTCTGTTTCATTACTGTAACTGATAATTAATAACTGTGTAATACTGTATACCTTTAAACTGTGATTCTGAGATGGTTATTGTACCGTGAAAATCTCACTAATGCAGCCCCAGATGAATATTATTAAGTTGCTCCAGCTGCTTTTCATCTCCCATTAAATTAATTGAATGACTCCTATTGCATTAATAGTTTAATAAACCTTTTTCACAGGAGCCATTTTGATATGAAACAGGAGGGTAAACACAGGTGTTACCAATGACACTAATTAAGGTTCTGTTACATTCAGGTCAAACACAGTCAGGGTGCTGCTACTGTGCATCATGGCTCACTGGAAAGGTTCTGCTACACTAAATGAACCTTCATTAGTAAAGAAGCTCTCTCCTTTTCCCTCTCTCTCTCTGGTGGTATTTGAATGGACTCGTCTGTAAACTGGTTTATAAATCAAAATTATTTAGAACGAAAAAACATGTGAAAAGACGCTCTTTGTTAAGAACAAAACAATATAATCTTAACTCTAATACTGATGGCTTCAACTTTACATTGATTTATAATGTTAATCACATCTGGACTTACACAGCCTTTCTGCAGTTCCTCACAGCTGGAATCAGTCTCAGTCGTCCCCCCACTGATGTGTTGTACTTCTTCAGGTCCAACTCATCCAGAACCTCCTCTGACATCTGCAGCATGTAGGCCAGAGCTGAGCAGTGGATCTCAGAGAGTTTCTTCTCTGATCTGTTCTCTGACTTCAGGAACTCTTGGATCTCCTGATGGACTGAGTGGTCGTTCATCTCCATCAGACAGTGGAAGATGTTGATGCTTCTGTCAGGAGAGATATCATCACTGTTCATCTTCTTCAGGTTGTTGATGGCTCTCTGGATGATTTCTGGACTGTTGTCTGTCTGACCCAGCAGGCCTCCTAAGAGTCTCTGGTTGGACTCCAGAGAGAGGCCATGAAGGAAGCGAACAAACAGGTCCAGGTGGCCATTTTTACTTTTGAGGGATTTCTCCATGGCTCTCTTCAGAAAGACATCCAGGGAGATCTTCCCCAGGAAGTCCTCCAGTACGTCTGTGTTCCTGTTGGTGTAACAGTGGAACATGTAGACTGCAGCCAGAAACTCCTGAATGCTCAGATGAACAAAGCAGTAGACTGTTTTCTGGAAGATCACACTCTCTCTTTTGAAGATCTCTGTACAAACTCCTGAGTACACCGAGGCCTCTGTGACATCAAGACCACACTGCTCCAGGTCTTCTTGGTAGAACATGATGTTTCCTTTCTCCAGCTGTTCAAACGCCAGCCTCCCCAGCTTCAGAAGAACTTCCCTGTCAGCCTCCATCAGCTCCTGTGGACTCTTCTCATGTCCCTCATCATACTTCTGCTTCTTCCTCTTTGTCTGAGCTAGCAGGAAGTGTGAGTACAGATCAGTCAGGGTCTCGGGCAGCTCTCCTCTCTTGGTCTGTAGTCAACATGTGGTCCAGAACTGTAGCAGTGATCCAGCAGAAAACTGGGATTAGACACATGATGTGGAGGCTCCTGGAGGTCTTGATGTGTGAGATGATTATGTTGGACAGATCTTCATCACTGACTCTCCTCCTGAAGTACTCCTCCCTTCTGGGTGTCAGTGAAGCCTCGTACTTCTGTTACCCTGTCAACACATTCAGGAGGGATCTGATTGGCTGCTGCAGGTCTGGAAGTTATCCAGACGAGAGCAGAGGGAAGCAGATTCCCCTTGATGAGGTTTGTCAACAGCACGTTGACTGAAGACTTCTGTGTGACGTCAGACACAACCTCATTGTTGTGGAAATCCAGTGAAAGTCTGCTTTCATCCAGGCCGTCAAAGATGAATAAAAGTTTACAGACAGCGAGCTGCTCTGCTGTGACCTTCTGTAATGTTGGATGGAAAACATGGAGCAGCCTGAGAAGACTGTACTGCTCATCTTTGATCAGGTTCAGCTCCCTGAACGAAAGCAGAACCACCAGACTAACATCTTGGTTTTCCAAACCCTCTGCCCAGTCCAGAGTGAACTTCAGCACTGAGAAGGTTTTTCCAACGCCAGTGACGCCGTTCGTCAGAACCACTCTGATGTGTCTCTGTTGGTCAGGTAAGGCTTTAAAGATCTTGTGGTACTTGATTACAGTGTCATGGAGGGTCTCCATCTTGGAAGCTGTCTCAAGCTGCCTCACCTCATGTTGGGTATTAACCTCTTCACTTTGTCCCTCTGTGATGTAGAGCTCAGTGTAGATCCTGTTGAGGAGGGGTTCCACTTCCTGTTTTATCAGTTCCTTCAGTCACATGTTTACATCTCATCTTCAGACTGATCTTATGTTCATCTAAAACCTCCTGCAGACCACCACTCACTAATGAAGATAAAAGAGTTTGAGACAAAATAAAGAAGATTTGACAAACTGCT